GTAAGGTATTTTAAACCTCGTGTGGAGTTATACAAATAAAGATTTTCGGACATAACTTCGTTTGACCATTATGGCTTAAATGGTTGACCGAGCATATGACCTTTGACCTTTGCCTGACAGCGTGATATTCACAGGACTTAGAAAGGCACACCAAGTAAGAAAATCGTCCTTCTATGCTTACCATTCGGATATCTCAACTTTCACATGTCGGACCAAAGTACAGTCTACCCAATATTTAGGAAGTTTAGGTAGAATAGCGTTGTTCCGACAGAAAGCTTCAAAGTTTTTATTCACTGAATATAGATACTTTTACAATTGCTTTAGATATAGCGGTACTCTAACTTGGTTATTGTAGAGGAGTACCTATTATATGTTATTATTGGTACCAAATTCCTAGTCGAGGTGAGCGTAGTGTTGGCGAATTTATCCGAGCAAAACCTTGAACACAACTTGCAAGTAAGTTTAGGTTTCATAATCATAGTTTCTGACTTACTGCTACAGGATGGTTCATACCTGTAACCGGTTAAGCCTGGGTCCTCATTTGTTTTGATTTCAACGCCCGCAAGCTGACATCCATCAGTGTCAGCTCCTTTTGTGAAATCCACGAATTTCACTTGAATCTTTCTCCCTTTTGGAGCCTTCAAATGGATTATTGAGAGGACAGCCTGTAACTTTTTCCTAGAAATAACGGACCGTAATCCAATAATAGCACTTCACAAAATCTTCTCGCCACTTAGGACCGTCTTTATCGCCCAGATCATCGACAAGCGTGGTCCAATCTTTGCTCGCTTTCAAGTTCTCACCGCAACCATTTGGCTGGAGAAAACTTTCTAAAGATGGTGGAGTTTGAGCTGGAAAAGACATTTACTCTTCTGCTGCAGAGTTTTCCACCGTATCCGTGAGGGCAGACGCATTTGTAGCATGCACGAGGATGAGCGTATCCGCCATTCCGGCATCGGGTGTTTACGCCCTCACATCGTTCTAGAACTTCGCGTTTTTTGACATATTCAAAGGATTCCCTGAAATCTATAAGCAAGCCCGTCACCTAAGCAGTTATAGTGGAGGTTCATCATATAAATGTCGTAAAAACTAATGAAGGGGGATCCGAGCGTTTCTGTGTAGTTTGAATCCTTAGGTACCAGAGTGAGCTTTTCGTCGTCAACAGCGCTTCTGAAAAAAATTTCCTCTAATTCATTCAGCGGCCTAGTATTTATAATATGTAATACATGCTAGATATGTCGAGTACCTTGTGGCTCCATAGTGCATCACACTACCGTAGTCGTATGGTACACCATAATTGTTATTGTCTGCTTTCGATTTGACTTGGTACTGGTTTATCTTATTGGGCTTAATTCATTCAAAATATCTCGTAGCTCCTTGACCTACTCGTGAAGGTTACCTTGATGTTTTCTATGTCAACGGTGATGTAATCATCTCGGTCGTGTCTAGAGTGAGTATGAAAGAATCCAAGAGCATGACCAATTTCATGTGCAGCTATTTTGATCTGAACAAAAAAAATTCTGTTTACTAGAAAGAGAATTCACCAGCTGAACATTGAGTGCCGAAAAAAGGTGAGGGATTTGAATTTCCAGGGAGAGNAATTTAGTCAGATCCATAACTATAACTTTCCTTCATACTAAGGGTTTCTTACATGTTCACAGCCTCTACCAAGTGAAAGCTTCTGCAGTCCTCCACGTTTGCCAACAGACGACCAACATCCGTTTTCCATAAATACACCAATTCTGTCCTCAGCTAAACCTCTACTGTTCAAGTGAATCATGCGCTGACCTTAATTACTTTGAATTTACCACATTCGTTTTCTTTGAAGTCGACACATGTGCTATCCATCCACTGCTTAGCCGCTTTCTTAAAAATCCTACGGACGTCATCATCTAAATAGGCCGAAAAGAATTTTGCTAGTTTCTTACAATGAAGGTGAAAGTAGCTGACTTGCGCTGTCGTCGAAAAAGTAGCTCACTGCCTCATGCCACCGGTAGGTTTTGTTACTATGAGCCTGTCGCTTACCGCGAGTGTGAGCAACGTCCTCGAGGATTTGATCCTGTTGTTCCCTTAAAGTGTTTGGTGCAAATTATCGCCGTCAAATACTCGGAAAATGAAGAAAACAAACTTCGAAAGGACCATATCACCCTGGAACAACATGTCTGCAACGTGGCTTTTCATGTTAATCGTTTCAATCGAGTCTTCATTAAGACTTTTCCCAACAGTCTTCCTTTTGAGTGTCTGATGAATTCAATGACTTAGCAGTAACTAATAGTTCCATTCATGAGGATGACTTACTTTCAATTTTTCCGCAAGTTCTCTTCTTTGCTCTTCGCTCAGCCTAAGTTCTTCCGGATGCTTTTCTTCGTATGCGGCCAGCCTTTTTCGGAATTCGAGCATGCTACTTCCAAGGATCTGTAGACATACCTGATGAGTTAGTCTTCTGCAGACTCAGTGGCAGACGTTTTACCTCGTTTGTGACATTTTCCTTGACGAAGCCATTGCGACCTCCATCCAAACCACCACTCACGCATACAGCTACAGATAAAGCGAGTATGAGAAGTCTCATTTCGCACTATAAATGATGGGAAACTTTCCCTAGTCGAAAAATATGAGGGAGGAACGACTTCAAAAAGGACCGTTCCAGTTGCTGCGTTTGCTCCTACGGTAGGCGAATAACGTACCTTGACGAGAACTCAACTGAATCCAGAATTTTAACACCTCCAAAAAGCTTTAAGATTTTCGAAAGAAAAGTGATTTAAGAAAATTTCTTGTGGTGCATTGAGGGAAGTGGAATTGAGCCTTTTGAGCTTTGAATGATTCCAGGGCGAAGCTCCTACGTGGAATCAGGTGAGAAAAGTGTCTAGCCATGAGAAAAGAGTTTGATTGCAAATGGGAACGAAATTATGTAATTATGATTTCTTATCGATATCACCAGTGAATAAAATCTATTCGAGACCCTATCGCAGCTAAATCGGGAGTCGAATGCGGGCCAAGGAATCAAGGACAAGTGGGACCACATTAAGGCCGAAAGAAGAAGGCCAGTGCTCACCATAGCCACAGTGAAGAAAACAGTTCTTTTATATGCCAGTTAAGGGTGGGAGGAAGGGGAGGGGAAGTAAGTGAAATGCAATGTAACTGCTTGCTCATGCACCTTGTCATCGCGAACAGTCTTCTTCTGAAACAGAAACAATTTTTGAAAAGCAAAAATTGAAGTCATGTCAGAGCTGCAGTGCAACGGCCAATGAACTTCCATATATTCACTCACATTTTTGTGGTGACCAACATTGCAAGGAGAGCTTAAAAGTACGGTGTCTGCATGGTCAGATAATGGTCGAAGAATGAGTAGGGGGTTGGACGATCATGACTTCAAGATGAACATATACATACATATAAAAGCATCTTCTCAATGGTAATAAGGAACAAGTGACTAAAGCGTGGGTTCAATCGTTGCAGTAGATTTTTGTTGGAAGCTCTACAGCCCCTGCTTGGAGCCCCCTCATGGTATAATCGAATTCGCACCAAATCGGAAGAAGAAGCAGACCGTCACACAGCGCTTTGCCCTTTAGTCGTTGGGACCAGTAGACGCATTCTCTAGTAGATCTGTGATCTAGTAGAATGGCGTTCATGAAAGAGAGGTGAAAGGATCTTTTCCCAGAAAGAAATCTCGGAAGAACTTCGGCCTTCTCCTCCGATATTTTTGAGCCTAGCACATTTGCAGAGACGATGTGAATGCATAAATCGGTCTCACTGGAGCTTCCCACTGTTTTGCTAGCAGAGTTTTCTTAAAAAAACTCATCCTCGCGCAAAATCGCTCAATGCACTCAAATAATTTTTTTCCAAATTCGTTGAGGTAGTGGAGCTCTTTTTTCGCAGATACATAGGAACTCTTATCTCTACAAGCCTTGCGTATCGTAATGTTCGAAGGCGCCTTTAGAAAAGGTTATAGACTTCAGCATATGGATCACCCTGCTATGTTCGAAACCACAAGAAGTGAAAGAGATGGCATGCTGTACATCTTAAAGAAGGTCATCTAGTTAAAAAGTTCCTTTCTTTCCTCTCGTTGCTGTCTGGCATTTCACTGAGGTTCTATAACTGCATTATTTTGTCTTGCTGTTTTCTTTATTGTCCTTTCTGTTTTATAATGTTCTGTATTTGACTTCTGCTTCAAAAGTTCTCATAGCTGCCTACCCTTTTTGAAAGATTTCATGAAAAAATAGGGTGGTAAGTGTATGGGAGGGGGAGGGGGACGGACGAAGAAACGTCAAAGGTGAAGTTGTCATCGGCAAAAGAGGAACACGCCTAGCTGTGGTTGCTTTCAGCTTAGGGAAGGATACTTGGTCGCAGTGGCCATTCAAGATAAGATGTCTACTGCCGTAGGAGGTTTCGAACGCTGATCTCGAATCTATATTTCAAATATGCTAAACGATTCTGGGAACAAAGTTACGGAACCAGTCTCTTTCTGTGTTATTGTTTTTCTGTGTTTCCGCAACTGCGCAATGGTGGCCTAGCGGATAGTGTGGTGGCCTGATAGGTGAGACATCAGGGTTCGACTTACGATAAAATGTGTCATAAACGCTTGCAAAACGTTTTTTGGGCTCACTACCGGACATCTAGGGGGCTACCTAACATTTTAGGAGCACTGGAAAGGTATTACGAGGAAAGTTTTTTTGAACTCAACAGCCGAGTAAAGGTGGAGTTCAATCGAACAACAGAAGAATTCTGAACAATCGCTCAAAATGGTCTTCAGGGGCTTCAAGGAGGATGGTTTCAAGTGATTCATCGTATCAAACGCTCTTCAGCACGTTACTGTTACTATTACTAGCGAAGTATTCTGGCCGAAGGTAGTGCCGTCGCATTTGATGGAGGTCTTCTGTTCTTGTAGCATAACGTGGGTGCCATCTTGGAGGAGAAGGTAATAAAGAGCTCTTGAGCCGTGCTGCTCGATGCTATAAAAACAATCCGTTATCCATGGGAGGAAATCGAGTCCGTGGAGGGCGATCACTATGATCCTGTACGGTCGCCTGATGACGACAACGACGATGGATCCGTAACTTCGCGAAAGAAACCTCGTGCGTTTGTGGGAAAATGGGGTTCCGAACCAAACGTAGCCTTCAATTTTGTGATCCGGCACATGAGCTCTACTTTTATGGCGCCGGTAGAAGAGCCCGTAGCCCTCTTGGTTCGAGTGTCTAAGCAGTCGCACTTCCTCTTACATAAAAACACGCTTTGTATCGTCACGACAGAGTTTCGCGTACGGAAATTTGGGCAGTATGAGAGACGATGAGTTTTCAAATTAGTCCATCTTCGACAAATGTGATGTCCTACCTGGTCGTCACTATCAGGTGCAAACAAGTGGACAGATCTGTCTACCTGTAGAGATTAGCGGATAAGATGGAAAGATTCATCATAAAATTAATGTGGGGTTCTCATTGCACGAATAGGATGATGCTTAAAATCAACAATGAGCACCCATAGGGGACACTTCAAAGCAAGCGAATCCAGGGTTTTGAGTGCAGCCGTGGTATCATGTCCCACCGCACCACCGCGTTCACCTCATGGAAGGGCTTTTCGAAAGAGCGTTCACCTTATGAACTAGTGGATAAGCACACAAAGCAATAAACTATTGTTCTTCTGTATTTCTTCAACAATGCCAGCTAACCTTTACCACCGCTCCGAAAGCGGGGACAGTATCAGTAGAATTTATGGACTGTATCTTTATATTTATATTTTACTTTATATTTTGCAAGCCTTTATGACAAATTTTATCGAAAAACAAAACGAGCGCACGCTTCAAGGAACCGCACCCTGATGTCTCGCCTACCAGTCCACCACACTGCCCGCTAGGCCACCATTGAACAATGAGAGGGTTGCTCAGCTCGGTGATCCGTTCATCGCAGGAATACAGGGAGGGACTGATCCCGTAACTTTGTTCCCAGAATCGTTTAGCAGATTTGAAACACAGATTTGAGATCAGCGTTCGAAGTCACCTACGGCAGTCAACATCTTATCTTGAATGGTCACTGCGACCATGTATCCTTTCCTTAGGTTTTGCGCGAATCCTTTTGTTTGCCGCATTCTTCGTTCTCCTTTAGTGTGCACCTAACAATATATTCGTTTTTACCCATCCCTTTATACTATCGTCAGTGTTACTTGTTTTTTTGCTTCTTTACTGCAAGCTCTGCCATCACACAAACACCGCGTATAGCAAATAATCGACAATTTCTCCGGATAGTTGAGTGTTTTTGAAGTTTCAGCTCACTCGGATGCCTCATTTCAATATCGTCATCCGTCACTCGCTCCTTGTTTCCGGCGAAAAAACCGATGGTCAGTCCATATCGATCGAAAACTATGAAGATCAAAAATCAAACCACCTACTAGTCTTCTTTTTTGACAATTTTCGCGTTCTTGGTGACGTAGACCTGGTCAACTCATACCTGCGAACACTGTAGGCTAATAGTGGACCCTCCTATTTCTGACCAACAGCTGCTATTGATGCCATTCTTACTGAAGGTACTGGAATGTTGTTAACCACCTCTACTAGGTGTTCATAGTATTGCAGCTGTTCCAGAGGTTCTTACTTTCGCTCGTTCACTTTCTTCTTGATTTTTTCTTATTCTACAATTTCCAATCTGCTATAACTGCGGCTGCTTGTTTGAGCTCATTAGGTTAGGCTTTACTTGCTATAGTAACCTTTCTAGCTGGCCATGCTCATAGTACAACGCTGACCTCCAGTTTTCATTACGCTTGGCCCATCGCTAGTGTGCCCACTTCCTTTCATTCACCGACTTTTCTTACCTCCTCGGCTCTTCAACTTCATTCACAATGATTTTAGAAAAGATTATATCGGGAGCTGCTGGTGTTAAAGCTCCCTCAATTCGTTGGTGGCTAGACTGCTTGGGTGGAGAGGTGGCAAACGTGCAGACCTGCATGAGAACTCACAGCCCA